CTGTCGACTGAGTTTTATCAGCCAACCAAATAACTGGTCAGGCTCTAAGATTAATAATCTGTAATTTACAGATGAAGTAGTAGCTCTACATTCAACAACCCTCTGGATTTATTACCAACGACCAATATAATCTTTACTATATCTCAAAAGCATATATCTTATAATTCTACTCTTTAAATGTATCTTTCTGTGTAGTTTAATTGTGTGTCTGCATCAGTATCACCATCTGTAGCTGCTAATACATGGGCTATAGACGGTTGGAGTATGTTTTGAATTTAGAAAATACTTTGACACTGTGGATTTTTGGCTGCATTGTATATGGACAGTGGAAGTGGTCCAACCCCCTCTGCCAAGTCAGGTTTACAGGCTCACACCATTCCTGTGGGAGGGAGGGGGGGGGGTTTACACCCTGCGAGCTTCTAAACCATGTACCCCCTTCAGATGAGACCCCCACGCACCTTGGCTTCAAACGCGCTGCCCTTTCTCAGAACAGCCTGCATGTGGCAGGAAGGAGGGCTGAAGGGGCGACTGAGAGGGAAGGAGGAGGTTGGACGGGAATACCAGCACCTCAAGTTACCATGTAGTTAAATAACGCCAGAACACACGCACCCACACATGCACGGACACACCTATTCAGGAATTCATATCTCACACATGTACACACACATGCACACACACACACACACACACACTAAGGGCCTGCACCACGCGGCCTCCCTGCTTTTAATACGAGCCCCGAGGATGCAGGTCATGCTTTGTATTTTCATTTCAAATGCGTCTTTTATTCCATCGTCCAAACGGTGACGCTTCATTAAACGCTCGGAGCTTTCAGGTGGTCCTCTCTAAAATATCTGCAACAGCATGCATGATAAACAGATCCATTTAAAATTGCGTGCACACTCTCCCTGTACTTTCTGCAGGTGGTCCAAGTCCGTTTTCTACATTTCTATGACCATGAGGTTTTGGTTGAAGTCTCAGGTTCAAGCCAAGTTAACTGCACCCCCCCCCCCCCCACATGTATTATGACAGATCTGACGTTGCACTGTATGAGCCCTCCCCAGCTTCCTGTTATAGGGCCCCTCGGATACATTGGTTCCATCTTCAAGTGGTGCCCATAGCAGGAAGGTCCCGACAGATGTTTGCATCTTTTTGTTAATCAGTGGAAAGACACACTGATGGAAGGAAACTGAGATTAAAAGAAATATGATGCTGGAGAACGTTATTTGTATGAATGAAGGTATTCAAAACAGGAATTCTACTTTGTTCTGTTATTTTTCCGAGAAAGGTAATTTTGGAAATTTTCAAAAAGTCACTGTTTCTTATTATTGTCATTACATTTTTTTGGGTTTGACAACAAATGTGATTTTGTTCTATTACTGAGAAGTTTGAATCTGGCTAAGTTTGAGCTCCAATGAGGTGCAGAAATTGTGAAGACATGTTTTTCAGTTTTGCTTCACACGTTACATCTCCACCTGCAGCTTTCAGACATGCACTAAATTCTGAATATTCTTTAAAACATTTCTAAAGGGGTTGTATGTGAAAACGCAGATGCTCTGGAAATGTTTTTCCTTCCAGTCCTCTTAGTAAAATGAGCCCATGTGAGAACCAGGAAAAGGTCTGGACAAGTCACGGCGAGCGAGTCAGTGCGTTGATGGCGATCCTAACACGTTGACCTACAGAACACCAAAATATAAAAAGAGTACTAACATCTTAGTAGGTGTGTGTGAGGTGCCTACACATAAAAGACGGATAAAAACGTGAATTGGAAAGACGAAATTCCAGAGGCCTCTGTGATGAGGGCTTATGTCGGTGTCAATGTGGCGTAAACAAAAATAATTTATACAGACGTTCTCCTCTTGTTTGAACACATCTGACTCAGACAATCTCCTTCTGCATTATTTATATAAAAAGAGTAAAGTGCATCTCACCCTCCACTCGGTCTGATTTTCTAATCCACCTGTGATTTCCTACTTGTACCGAAGTATTGACGTCCCCACTTCCCTGACCTGTATCAGTCTGCCTCCATTTTGTAAATTCTTGAAATCGATGTTGAACAAACTACATCGTGACCCTATATTAAAACGGCTACATCACATAAAACAACTGTCAGGCGCTGATAGAAAACAGACAAATTCCTCCTGACTCCCATCCACCCCTGAGGCTTCATGTCAGCCCTTCAGTGTGTAGCTCAAACTGCGTGTGCACATCATTCATGCTTATCGTGATCTCACTGGAGCAACAGATGGGTCCAGAAATCATCAACCCATCAGAGACAATTCAGCACAATTAAAGTTCAAGGGAATATTTCTTAACCCTGCGTCAGAACTCTTCATACCACGCTGCGTATTATTCATAACTTTTTGTCTTTCTCACCAGATGACTCCAGCTCGAGAGGTGGAGCAGGGACGGCCAATGGTGACGCCGAACACGCCCCGGAGCTTGCTGGGAAACTGGGTAAGCACTCACACGTGTAGGAGGGAAGCCTGGAGGTGGCACTCAGGATAGCGGAGAGTGTGTGACATTTAAAGGAACACAGTAGCAGACTGAACAATAAACACCTTGCAAACTGTCAGAGTGAAGAAGGTGAGAGTGTATACGCCCCCGCCACCACACACACACACACACACACACAGACACACTGCAGGCGGGTTGTTTGCGTAGGTAATTGGCTCTGACAGAGTGGAGTGAAGTCTATTTGTGTGAGGTGTGATTTGGTGCAACAACAGCCCCCCGCCAAGTGTCCCTGGATAGTGTCCCTGTCATGTAATTGAACCCACTCTCGTTGTTATCCTCTTCTCTCTCCGACCTCCATGAATCTGTTGGTCCAGTTTCGCGGCGTGGATCCAATTGGATTGATTGATATAAGCTGAAAAAACTACATTGACTCAACTTAAAAAATTCAATATGGATTTTAGGAGGCCGATGCCACTATTATGAATTTAAAATGTTCCGATAGCGATATATTGGTCTATGAAGTGTCAATGAATCCGCGGATGTTCTTATCAAACCTTTATGACAAAGAAATGTTTTTGAGGCTTGATCATTTACAGCTCAACCATAAACTTTATTTTTTTTAAATATGGACAAACCACAAATACAGTGTGAATTGGGAAAATAAACATATTTCTACATAAAATGTTTTTCAGCATTTTCTATTAAAAAAAAAAAAAAGTAAAATAAGTTTTCATGTCTGCAAAGATAAATGCAGATTCCAACATGTCTTTGGGAGGCTTGTATCGTTCTTAACTCTATCGAGGTCCTATAACCCAGACGTAAATACTTCAATACAGAATACATATGTATAGTTGTAACTTCTGATGCAAAGACCTGCACAAGTTCTCACTGCAACTACTCAAGTCAACATGAGTTACCTGACTTTAAAATCTCCTTAATCTCAGTGTCTCTCTCTCTCTCTCTCTCTCACACACACACTCTCTGGTTCACTCTGTCTCTCTCTGGCACACCGATCAAAGTCGGCGTGTCGGAGGGTCAGTAGTATTTTTACACTGTGAAGTGTGGCGTTGAAGTGGCCCCTGAGACCCAGAACAAGCCTGCCCTTTTGCCCGCTCTGGCTCTCTCTCTCTCCTCCCCTCTCTTCCCTCTTTCCACTCTCTGTGTGACTGCTTTTTTCAGTTTGCCCTCACTTCTTCTCCCTCTATTTTTCTTTCTTTTTTCTGCCCCCTCTTTTACCCTCACTTTGTTTTATTTTTTTAACTCTTTCTCTTTGTTCTCAATTTTTCTGCCGTCACTCCCGTTTTATTTCGTCGGCTTTTCAGCAATCTGTCTGCCGTGCGTGTGTTTTAACCTCCACGTGAACTTCGCCCTCTCTCTCTCCCTCCATCTGTTTTCTCCTCTACCTCTGTTTGATTTAGTTCGGCGTAGACATTATAAATCAGCTCATTTCAATTGCACCTCGCTGTATTTTGTTAGTCTCATCTTTATCCAATCCACCTCAGATCAGATGCACTTGGCTTTGGCTCCTCACATCCTCTTCATTTTAAACAAGTGCAGTTGAATTTATGTCATGACATTGAGCCGCTGCCAAAACATTAAACTATTAATCGCTGCGTTCTGCTGCTCTCCCCCTCTGCTGTATTAATGCATTGACTCCAGTTCAGCAGTAGTCCAGTAGCTTTTCTCAAGACTCTTGCAGGACAAAGGTGAGACTTAAAAGCCTTTGGGGTATGTTTTTTCTGTCAGCGGGCCCAGCTTTGGGTCTGAGCTATATTCCGCTGAGCAATGCAGCCGTAGTGAAATCTCCGGACTCGAGTGCACAGATCCGTCACATAACTCTTCCCTGTGTTTGTTTACCCAGAGCTGGAATAATAACCGTGTCCAAAGAAACAAACGCAACTGCAGTAGTTTCAGGGTGATTTATCGCCCCGGTTGATGGCTATCTGCTGTGGCTTGAACATGAGGGCTGTAAAAATCAAGCGCTCCTGTGAATGATTTCCTCTGCTCCCTCCCTACTGGAGAGTTTCTTTTCCCCCCTTTGATGTGTTTTCACTGCTCGTTGATTGTTGGACTCCTTTTAAAGAGGGATGCCTGCATGTGAATAGATGCATGTGTTTATTGTCTGACCGTTTTATTTCTTTGTGAGGAGGAATATGAGTCTGTGAATGGCTAAGAGGGATCAAGTCATGCATCTGTATGGACGGATGTGGTTGTTTGAATACGTGTATGAGGTTAACTGGCCGCTTTGTGTTTTGTAAGAAAGAGTTTGCGTGGGTAAAAGGAGGCTTGGGTGTGATGCCAGTTGCTGTCTGTCTTTGTGAGACTTGTGCACAGATTCGTGAGCAGATATTTATGGTGATGTTACCTAGCTGTGGGTTTTAGTGAGAGTTCACGGTGGCACGATTTGAAGTGAAGTGTGTGGCTTTTTTTAACGAGCACAGAAACATAAAAACCCGGGCCAAGAGGTGCCGGATCAGTGGAAAATAACAAATCTGCTTTGTCTATATACCGTGTGTGTGTGTCTCTGTGTGTTTGTGTGTGTGTGTGTGTGTCTCTGTGTGTTTGTGTGTGTGTGTGTGTGTCTCTGTGTGTTTGTGTGTGTGAAGTGAAGTCCTGTTTTTTGGGCGCACACTGAAAGATTGATTGATATTTCACCTCATAATTTCAATTTATCTGTGAATAAGGTGGAGCATATCTGACGTCTATCTTATAATGCAGCATTGCAACGATAAAAACAGAGAGTTTGATTTTCCCGGTGAAGAAGGGGAGTTGGGATGAGGGGATGGGAGACAGGATTAAGGAAGTGGAAGGATGGGAGAGGTGAAGGGGTTAACAGGGTGGTTGAGGTTGACTGGTTGAAAAACCAAATGTCTTGCTCCATGATGAGACTCACCAGGTCCTTGATAATTTGAAGGCTGGTCTCTTTGTTCGCCTGCTCACTCTTGAGGTGATTCTTCAGATTATTGACTTTAACATCACAGTCAGTCTCAATCTGATGTATCAGACTCTTCATGGTTTTCAGTTTCTCCATGAGCTCCAACTTCTTATGATCGTCTCCCTGCACATTGAGCCACTTGTCCGCAGTGACTCCAACCAGACTCTCAGTCTCCTTGATATTTTGGAGGCATGTCTCTCTCTCCTCCTTCTCACTTCTGATTGGATCCTCATGAGGTTTTCCTCCAGAGTGTTGATTATAAGGTCCCTGTCAGTTAGACTCTGATCGATCTGAGTCTGAATGGCCGTCAGTTTTTCTGTGAGCCCAACATTTTTTGCCCAGTTCTCGTTGAACCTCTTCTCCTTGGCTTTAACAAGACTCTCCAGCTCATGGTTTCTGTTAACACAGACTTCTTTCTCCAACAGCTCACTGCACAGCCGATTCTCCAGAGCGTTGATTTGAAGTAGGTAGCCAGCCTTGTTCTGCAGGATCTCGATTTGCATGGCCTTCAGTTTGGCCATGAGCTGATCATTCTCATCGACCAGCGCAGCCTTTTCACTTTCAAACTTGACCATTTGTTCGTCCTTTTCCCGGGTGACATCCTCAACCTCCGTCTGGTACCACATCAACTTCTCTTGCATCTTCTGCATGTCAGCCTGCTGCTCTTTGGAGAGATTGTCCATATTCTCAAACTGAGTCTCAGCTGTTGACAAATCGAGTCTTATTTGCAGTTGTTCTGTCGCAGGCTGTGAGTAGTTGCTTCAGTCAGTTAGGTGCATGATTGTAAGTGGCTTTGATACTAGATCTGTCTGATTTGTTGTTGTTGCCTGGCAACATGAGTGACTCTCAAATCGTATGTTTTTAAAATCTCAATTCWKT